CGAGGGGTCAGCTACCGCATCGAAGGAGCATCCTGAAAGTCTCTACGTGTCAGCCGAAGGGTCAACTACCGCACCGAAGGAGCATCCTGAAGCCTCACAGCATATCGTCCGAAGGGTCAGCCTCCACAGCAAGAGGAGCATCCAGAAAAAAACCGGGCAAGAGGGTTAACTCCTTCACCCGCCAATTGACCTCATAGTATGTTAACCCATGGTCAATTGGTCGGGTAAAGGGGGGGCAGCTGTAGACCCCAAATCTTGCCCGGCTCTCCAATAAAGACTAGAAATCCTCCGTTCCGAAGATGAATAAGGCTTCATAAAGCCCTTAGTAGTGTTTACTAGGCTTCATTTAGGAAAAGGAGGGTTTTCTGAGAAAATAAAAAATAAAATTTTGTTAGAGCGTCCAAATGGCCATCCAGAACATGCAGATGGCCATCCAGAGTGTCCAGACGACCATCCAGAACATGCAGACGGCCATCCAGTATGCAGACGGCCATCCAGTGTCCAGACGACCATCCAGAGCGTCCAGATGGTCATCCAGAACATGCAGATGACCATCCAGAGCGTCCAAATGGCCATCCAGAACATGCAGATGACCATCCAGAGTGTCCAGACGGCCATCCAGAACATGCAGACGACCATCCAGTATATAGACGACCATCCAGTGTCCAGACGGCCATCCAGAGTGTGCAGACGGCCATCCAGTGTCCAAACGGTCGTCCAGAACAACCAGACGGCCATCTACCCTGTTTTTGAGCCCTGGATGGCCGTCCATGATGACCAGATGGACGTCCACCCTGTTTTTGAGCCCTGGACGGCCGTCCATGATGACCAGACGACCGTCCACCCTAATTTTGAGCCATGGACGGCCGTCCACTTTGTCCAGACGGTCGTCTGCCTTTTCCTGGCCCGAGTCCCTATAAATAGGGACCTCATTCCTCCGAATTTACACACCTTTTCCACTCCTCCACTCTCGTGGAAGCTTTTTGGCACTTGAGAGTGACCCTGAGCATTATTCCGGGGTTCGAGGGAGCTTTCCGATTTCCGTTAAGGTTGAAATCGGTTAAGGAGGTCTCTCTTTGAGGCATCCGGCCCTCGGTTGAGTGACTTTTCTTTGTTTTGCGGAGAGGAGCGTGCTTGTAGAGTGCGGGGACTGCCAAAAAGCGTCCTCACGTTTTAGAAGAGTTAATATAAAGCTCGCTTCGGAGGTTTCTTCTCTATTCTTTGTCTCTTTTACTGCTTTCTTTATCGCTTTCTTCGTGTGCATTAGATAGTAGAGTCATGTAGATATTTAAATTCTGCAAGCAGATCAAATAATAGGGTAAAAATGTAATTTCTTTAAGTATTTATTTTCTAAGTTAGTCCATCATAGGGAACCCGAAAGGGGCGTTGTGGGGGTGCTAACACCTTCCCCGCACGTAACTAACTCCCTTACCCGACTCTGGTTGTAATGACCAAAGTTGGTTTTTTCTAAAACCACTGTCTTTTCTTTTTTTACCTTTTTCAGTGTTTAAGGTTAAAACACTGGTGGCGACTCCTCGAACCTATTCGAAAACCTCGCCCTTAGGTCTAGCCCGGTTATTTAAAGGGTCATGGTCCCCTTCTGGGAGCACACACACAGAACGTAAGTATCAGTCTCGTTCTTTTCTTTCTATCCCCATCAAGAGAGAAAATCAAGAGGAAAATACAGGTGCTCTTCAGGTGGACGACCATAAGATCAATATAGTGCTATATAAAGACATCATCATTATGACTAATTCAGGTACGCTTTCGCATTCAGTTTACAGCATGTTTATCAGTATGAGATTATGTTTATGTTTGATTGTTAGAATCAAAATCATGATTATTATTATAATTATTAGTTTTCCAACATATAAAAGTCAAACAATTTTGGGTACGGTTTACTTTGGGCTGGCGAGTTGGGCAGAGGCAAGAGAATAGGAAAATGCTGGGAGTTGAAGTATACATACTCATCATACACACACACACACACATATATATATATATATATATATATATATATATATATATATATTTTATATTATGAGAAAAACATTATGTGTCTGAATAATGATTTGAGGAGAAAAACATGATAAAAAAACAAGCAGATATAGAGGTTTGGAGTGGGATAATGGAATAGCTAGGGCCCCATTGATCTATAATGTAATTGATTATAGGTTAGACAGATATGACTCTCTCATTACTCTTTAGTCTTTTCCAAATCTGAAGCGATTCAACTGAACTGTGAAATGAAGAAAGAAGCGTCCACTTGTCAGTCATGGCAAGGGGAAAACAGTGAGGGCGTTGGTTGTTCTAATTTTGCATAGCTTATGGGACCAAGGGTATCAGATTCAGTGAACTACATGAATATATTCAAAAACCATGGCCATATGACATTTTGATGCGTTTTGTCACCCTATCCGTACTATCACTCACTGCATCATAATAATATAATGTGTACAACATATTGACTTAGGTATAAAATCCCATCTTAATTTGATGACATTGTAGATGAAAAAGTTGACAGATGAGCAAATTATCGACAAGATTAAGTGTGGGGATCATAGTTGTTGACGAGGATTCCCTTGACATTTGGTGCAACTAGATGCACATGCATGGTTCCATATAAGTGCGACATCAAGTTATTACAGTTAATCTGTAATATTAGTATGTCATCCATGTTGGGTTTTTCCGTTTTTGAAGTCTCAAGTTGCACATCATTATAGTTGGAAAAGGTTGAGCTTCAGATTAGTTTCCAATATAAATAAGCCTTTCTTGCATTAGAAGTTTCTAGCAGGGGTATTTGTGTGACTCACTACCTGTATTTTTATTATTTCATTTTCTGGACCTGGTCGATTAAAAGCTGACTTTATATAAGACATAAAAATTTAATTTTTATTACATTAATATTTTGACCTCATGACTGAATGTTGGTTTCATCAGCAAATGATCACTTTTTTGGTAAACAGGTTCTGTGATATTAGAGTGTTGAAGGGTTCATCATATCAGTGGTTTAAAAGGAGCCTCTGGTCCTGTCATGGGAGTTTAAAGAACATTTGAATGCCTAATGGATAAATCAACATGACATAGTCAACTCCAATTGCAAGAGTGAAGAAGATAAATATGCCTAGCCATGCAACTTATAGGCATGCCATGCTTTCTTTATTTGTCAAATTCTCAGACTTCACCCACCACCCACGTTCTCACCAATCACCATCATCAGTTCATTTGTGGAAACCCACCTTTACCTTTGGCGAGGAGTAAAATTCTTTGGTTCCAATTTTAGACATCTTTTTAACTCATTGGATTATCATAACAGATATGAATCAATGTAAGAACTTTAACCACCATTATACTTTGTAATCATTTTCCCCCTTCAATTTAACGATGATCGGTCATCGTCCACTGAGAAATGAAAGAGAGAGGTTCTTTTGCTCTAAAAAGTACAAACTAGCCACGTAAATGGTAGGTTTCTGGCTTTGTCCCAAAAAGCCAAAAACAAAGGGTAGGGGGGACATGTTACATATTGGAATTTCAAGTTAGGTATAGAAAACTTTTTCCTAACAAAGCTTGTGTGCTCCAATGAAAAACTTTGTTTTGTGAGGTTGGAACGGTTCAGTGACTTTGGATCTATGAAATAAAACTAAATAAATTAGCGCAAAACACGTGGTTAAAAGCAAATTTTTTTGCTTACAAAACAATCTAATTTTCGACTCTGTTTTCCTAAGTGGACCGAAGGCTCCACATTCCAAATTGCTGTTAGTTTGAAAGGCCCCACCAGTGATGGTTTACTGAAGTGACGTCATACTAACAAATTATCACAAGTGATTAATAGCAAAATAAATAGTATTCATCCTCAAAATCCTTATTTCCCTTCTTTTGCAACCTCTTGTAGTCTATAACTGATATGGTTAATAACTATCTAAAATAATGTTATGCACCAAATTCTTCTTTATACGTAAAACTCTGAAACACTAACAGTATTAAAACGTGTCAAGTAGCTACAAGTGTTACTTCTGAAATCATATACGGAGTGTGATTGATTACATGAGATATATTGAACAAATGTCAGCACCCAAAATACACAAACATGATCTAAGTAGATTTAAGAAGATCACATGCACAACTAATATCTTTCTTCTAAAAGGGAAGATTAAATTTCAGGTAATACAGCATCTGTATGATTTTTTTTTATCAGGCAGATGCTTCTACATATTTGGAAATATGACAAAGTAGGACTTGAGTTTCCGGCGTCAATTAATCAACATGTCACACGGTTTATTTATAAATAAGGAATCTCTTGTTTACCATTGCATCATTACTCTTTCATTCTGGAGTTATTCGCATATCTGTTAGATATTTGGTTCTGTTTATACACAACACAGCAAGGAGTAACTTATCCAATCCCTTCCAACATGTTCAAAAGAGTCATACATAGATTAATGAAAAAAAAAAAAAAATACGAACTAAAGTTTTGAATTAAAATATGAGTATATATGTATTCGTTTTTTTTTTCTTTCATGTAATTCGTTATCTTTCCACTGTCATTCTGTCTCATCACTTAACTTATGATGTTTATCACTTTTTGTAGCTTTTTTTTTCTTCCACCCAATCCGTGGAGAAGGAGCTAGTTTTGAAAAGTACTGTTGGTTATTTGTAGGGTTTTGGGGATAGTTATTTTGATTAAGAAAATAATGATATTAGACTAGCTTTTGAGATTGTCAATCAATGCTAACAAAGGAACATACGTAACGGACCAGCTTGAAAGCTTATAAAAGAGTGTCTGTGCTTAATCCCTGAACACACACATACCCACTTTGCTTGCTTCCTCTCCTCTCAAACTCCTCCTCCTGGTCCCGCTCACTTTTGGTTTTTGAAGGAGTGTTTTTCGAGGAGAGGAATAAAACATCCCCACCACTATCCCCTTCTGTTCCTCATAATTAACTCCTTCTCAAAACACATCAGAAACAAGAAAATAAGCAAAACTAACCAAAACCTTTGAGATGCTTGCGCAACAGAAATCCCCCAAGACATACCCGACACTCGCCCAGGTAAGATATCTCTTTTGTATGATTTTCAAACACACACACATAAACACACATACACTACAAAATGTGCAGAGTTTTATTTAGAAAAATATCCATCATCCACTCACTTTCTCTATTCCGTTCCATCTTCCCCTCATTTTTAAGAGAATAATTAAGTTGTTCAGAATTATCATGATCTCTATTAAATGGATATTACATATAGATCCATTAGAACCATGAAGTAATATCATATTTTTCTTATTTTTCTTACTCTTTTTTTTTATTATATCTATTGTTTTCTCAATTTTTACTTTTCTTTTCTATTCATCTTATCTCTGTTTTTTCCATTAATTCCAGCTATCACATTTTGGGTAGACAAGCATCATTACCCTTCATTATATCTTATCTATATACCTAACACGGATCACTCATTCATGTGTTTGTTTATCATGCAGGTATTAGAGGAAGTAAAGAGAATGACAGACATAGGGTTCCCAATAGCAGCCATGAGCCTTGTGGGGTACCTAAAAAACCTGACCTTAGTTGTGTGCATGGGAAGGTTGGGAAGCCTGGAGTTAGCTGGAGGTTCTTTGGCCATAGGACTCACCAACATAACCGGTTACTCTGTCCTCTCAGGTCTAGCCATGGGCATGGAACCCCTCTGCACCCAAGCTTTCGGTTCTAAAAACTTCTCCTTACTCTCTCTAACTTTGCAGAGAACAATTCTCATGTTGCTGCTATTTTCTCTTCCCATTTCCCTTCTGTGGCTCAACCTCGAATCTCTCATGCTTTTCCTTCGTCAGAATCCAGACATAACCCGTGTAGCAACCATCTATTGCCGTTTCGCCATCCCAGACCTCATCGCCAATAGTTTCCTCCACCCTCTTCGCATCTATCTACGAAGCAAAGGAACAACTTGGCCACTGCTGTGGTGCACTTTACTTTCCATTCTTTTACACCTTCCCACCATCAACTTTTTAACCTTCAAACTCCACCTTGGCGTGCCGGGAATCGCTGTTTCATCCTTTGTTGCCAATTTTAACAACCTTTTCTTCCTTCTTTTGTACATGTTCTATACACGTGTTCCCAAGGAGTCCTTACACGTGCCGTTACTACAGTCTCGTACCATGTCACATAATAATGTGATAACATGTAGTAGCAGTACTAGTACTCTTGCCAAGGAATGGGGTGTGCTAATGAAATTTTCAATACAAAGTTGTCTAGCTGTTTGCTTGGAATGGTGGTGGTACGAATTGATGACAATTTCCGCAGGTTACCTTAACAACCCTCGTGTTGCTCTAGCCACGGCTGGCATAGTGATACAAACCACATCTCTTATGTACACTTTGCCAACAGCACTAAGTGCATCGGTGTCGACGAGAGTAGGGAATGAACTTGGGGCGGGGCAAGGTGAAAGAGCGAGTTTGGCAACGGTGGTAGCAATAGGATTAGCACTTGCAAGCTCAATTTTTGGTTTGTTGTGGACCACAATGGGAAGAGAAAGGTGGGGGAGAGTGTTCACTAGTGACAGTGAGGTGCTGCAATTGAGTATGACAGTGTTGCCTATAATTGGACTTTGTGAGTTAGCCAATTGTCCACAAACCACAAGCTGTGGAATCCTTAGAGGAAGTGCAAGGCCTGGTATTGGAGCAGTTATAAACTTTTGCTCCTTTTATTTGGTGGGAGCACCAGTGGCCATTGTTTTGGCCTTCGTTTGGAACCTAGGGATGGTGGGGCTGTGTTATGGCTTGCTGGCAGCACAGATCGCATGTGTGGTCTCAATTTTCGTTGTGGTGTACAAAACTGATTGGGAGAGGGAGTCATTGAAAGCCAGAAGCTTGGTAGGAAAGGGTTTATGTGGCACTTTTGCATTTGATCATGACCAAATTACGGTCAAATGTGAAGAAGGTGTTGTCTTTCTCAAAGAGAACAACTCCGAAAAGTGAACAAATTACGCCCCTGATTTTCACTAGTGTTCAAGAAATACACACCAAAAAGCACCCGTTACTTGAACAGAAGTTGATCTCAAAATTATGATTCTTTTAGCATTGGAAAATAGATTGTTTTCACACCCCAAATCTTGCATCCTTCACCTACATACTCATACACCTCTGTGTAGATTCTCACACATAAATACGTTATGTAGGAGGAGGATCTAAGATTTTAGAGAGTGATTTTTTTTTTTTACTGTGATTATACATATGCATTTACATAACCAATTGTGATCTTGTATTTTTATATTTTTTTTCCTTGCAGCAAGCCTCAATGCAAGGTCTAGGTGGATGGCGTCATGATAATGTAATTGTAATTGCAAGGTGTATCTAATTTGTACTTCATTTATATATATAACAGATCGATTTCAGCCACATTATTCAAATGGTTAATATGTTAAGCATCAACTTGAGCACTATAAGCAGATGGCAGATGAATCACACGGATCTTTTTAAATACGTACTAATAGTTTTGATGCACTAACTGGAAAAAGAAAGAAACAAGTAAATACATGTACAGAGCATTGTGATTTATGCTTTCAAACCTATTTGAGCTTATATCATGTTCTAAATTATTAAAAAGAGAAGTTGATATTCCCTTGGCTAAATCAGATTGGAATTAACCATCTTTACTGAGAAGCCAATAGGAGTAGTTCCTTCTCGAAGAAGCACATGAGACAGCTTTTACCATATTTACATTGAAATCTATTTTGTCTTACTGTTATTCATTATCAAAAACCAAATCTATTAAATATTGAGAAGGGACCAAAATATTTACTTGTAAATTATTATGAAAAAAATGCAAGAAAGCAAGGACTTTTAAAAAGAGATCTCAGCAGTTGAACATCCGTAGTTCCATTTGGAATACGTAAGTTTTGTGGCATGAAAACAATTAAGACATATAAGACTTGGGTTTAATTATCTTCACTTTACTAAGCATGTGCTAGCATGTGTTGAAAAGCATGCATGTGTGGGGACACAAAGTGAGAGGATGATCATTATAGTACGTTCATTCATGAAAAAACTAAACATCAGTGTCTATTTTGCCAGTTATGTGGTGCTAGGTGTAATTTTGTTAGACGTTCTTAATATGGACATTGAAGAAGTACTCTTGAGGCACTGGAGATTTTCTTTATATAGTCTCTTGAATTCCTATATACATGTAGTGGCACGTCCCTACTTCCCCAACCATATCTCATACCTTTGATGTTTGAATAGACTCGACATATATGGTCACATGCGAACAAGTTTGGCAGAAATTAAAGTACCAAGTTGAAAGCAACAAGGACCGACATTTCTCAAATAAATATCCACTATCATCATCATCATCATCATCATAGTAGTTCTTTGATTATGATCCATGTATCGCTATAATGTGTGGTACGTGATATTTTCTATCACCATAAAACAAAGGATGATTAATGAGGAAACTCGACGTTGGAGTAGCTTTACCACCTATCATAACAGAGGAAACTTTTGTCCCGTACTTACCCACTGGAATGTTCTGGTAAAAATAAAAATGTATTTAATTAAATGTAAAGTTAAAAATTATTAATTTGGTCCTTAAGTATAGTTTGATTTAGTTTAAATTAAAATAAATGAATAAGACTAAAATCCATCAAAATGAACATTACCCCGTATCATTTTCATTATCACATGTATTTTAAAAATGATGGTGACAATACCAATACATAAGACTGACAATAAGACAAAAATAATAATAATAATAATAATAATAATAGAAAGTATTATGGGATTAGAAACTCATACAAGTGTCAATGTGTACACAGATATTATTCAAAGAGGCCTTAATTTAAAACTGGCGGATTTTTTTGTTTCGCAGAATATGAAAGCTAAAAATACATTTTTAAAATGTGGGAATTTATCTAAAAAATCGAATTTATGATATATGTTTTTAGACACGATATGATGGTGATTCAAGAGACAAGTAATGTTGGGCTCAATTTGATATGCTGGGCCCAATTTGATATGCTGGTCTTTCAAGTAAGACACTGTTGGGCTTCTCATTTTCGTTTCAACCCTCTTAAAAAAATCTCTCCATAAATATGTAAAATTTAATTGAAACATAGTAAATATGAACTGGTTTTTGAAAGTGGTTGAATAAAACTGAACTGAAATATATAATTTATTTAGATGAAAATATTTGAATTTATAGTTTGAGAGAGGTGAATCTGGTGACTTTTTGAATTATTTTAATTATCTTGATTATTAAATTATTATTAATAAACGTTCTATTTTAAAACATGTTTTTTAATATCGTAAATTACAATTCCATTTAATTTAAACATTATTATTTTAAATATTTTTTTTAATTAAAATAAAATAATATTTTGATTAATCTTTTACACAAATCCATTGAGTTTAATTTCAGTACTAATTTGATTAATCTTGTTATTTTCTTTAATTACTAAGCTAAGACAGACAATTACCACCTATTCTGTTTTTTTCTTTTATCTCATATTGTAAATATATTTTTATTTGATGTTCCTGCTGCTGAATTATGAATTTTGTATTGGTTGATGCATTAAGCGGATAACTAAATGCTTTTAAAATATGAAATCTAAATATAGAAAAATATGAATTATTTTTATATTGCCGCTATTTCATGTTGTGACTAATTAGTATAAGTTGTTATTGTTTTATTGATTTTTTATGAAAGTAAAATCTTCTATTAATGTCAAAATTAAAAGAGAATGTGCCAACAATGTTAGATTTTTATAATTAATGTAATATAACTACATATTATTAATAATGATAATATAATTATTTTTTAAAATTAACGACAAAGTTATATGTAAAACGTTTTTATTATTTACCGTTATATCATATTTACATGAGTGTTATATAAAATTAAGCTCTAATATACTTAATTAAGAATTTTAGCACTCAATTATCATTATTATTTCGCAAATTTTATTGTCCAAGTTTTTACTGGACATTTCATTATAAGTTTTAAAATTTACATATTTTATTATCCTTTTTTTAAGACTTGCATGTTTTCAGTCACATAATTAATTAATATATTGACAAAATATATTAAAATAAAAAATATAAAAATATATGAAAAAATATGAAATTTTTTTGAGTAGTAAAATCTATAAAATGATGAGAGGTTAATGATAAAATTATGCAATTAACCTATAATTTATTTTCATAGAATAAAACAAGACTATGTTATATAATTAATATATCAGTTAAGAAAATATTGATATAATAATAATAATATTCTTCTTGTTATTATTATTATTATTATAAAATGTTGATAAGTGAATGGTACAAGGTCCTTCAATTAATCTATAATTTACTTTCATGACGTAAAATATATAAATTAAAATATATAAATTAAAATATATAACCACTTTTAAAAATGATAAATAATATGTATTATAATACTGCATAAAATTTATATGTTTATTTAAGTTGTTTGGTTAAGGTGTAACTAATAATTTGTATTATAAGGAAATACTAACACACACACACACACACACATATATATATATATATATATATATATATATATATATATATATATATATATATATATATATATATATTTTCGATAACATTTAAGATATATCAAATAATTATCTATAAATATATTCGTACTTAATTGTATATAATTTTTTTAAAATATTTTCTATGATAAAAGTACCTATAAATTTAAAAATTCATAGCTAACTTTTACTAATTTTACCTGTAGATTTTTTTTCATTAAAAATAAATTTATACTTATAGATTTTTTATAACACCTACAAATTTGGATTCATACTCATAGATTTTTCATAACACGAGATTTGGATGATAGATAATATAATTTTTTAATATAATATAATTTATATATTTAAAAAGATATATTATAATAAATTTTAATCAGATAAAAAATAAATATTTAATTTGTCCAATACACGAACTACTAGTAGAAAAAAAAATACACAATGGAGTGTTAGTTCTTGAAATTTTTTTACAAAAACAAAAGTTAATCTTATAATAAAAACATATCATAATTCAGGTTAAATTAATTTAAATAAAATATTGAATTCAATGGTCTATATTGATTATTTGTTTCAATTTTTGTTATTTTGTTTGTGATTAGTTATAAAATAGTAAATACTTCGGTACATCTTATTTTGGTATAGAAAAAAAAATATTAAAAAAACAATTTTATATATTAAAATAAAATACGCATGCCAATCGTGTAAGTACCCGTGAAAGTAAAATTTTAAAAGTAAATTTATATATATATATATATATATATATATATATATATATATATATATATATAGCTTAAAACAAGTTAAAATAATCATAATTCATAATTAGTTGAGTAATTAAAAAAAATGCGTTAGGATGTGATTAAATAAATAAAAACTTTATGTGTTATTCAGTTACTATATATAACACTCATTTCTTTCTCATTCAATATACGTTGTTTTACCATTAACATGTTCAAGATACTTTTATCTAGCTGTATAATTCTTTTATTCTAACAACTGGTATCCAGAACAAGGTTGGAGAATAGGACCTGGTGCGACTTTCTCTACCAATCTACCTATTCTAAAAGGAAAGAATTGGGCAAGATGGCGTGTGCAGATGAAAGCAATCTTGGGCTATCAAGAGGTAACATAAATAATTGAAGAAGGGTTTTTAGAGTTGGGCAAAAATTCAACGGACGAACTGACGACACTCAAATAGAAGGGAAACAATTTAGGGTTAGGTTTTAAGAATTGATTTGATTAGAAATAGAAAACAGAAAAACATAAAAGATACCATAGGCGCCACAAATAATAATATTTGATAAGCCAAGAAGGATAGCCACAAGAATCGAATAATTCTTGATAAGATCAAGTGATGCAAGGAAGAACCCTAGCAGAACAACAACTCACAAAGTAATCTGAATATTCCGTCCGTTCATTCTGAATTCCCAAATGTTTAAT